TTATTATAATTACAATTTTGCCGTTGTTGTCGATGTAAACATCGTCATTATCACGATAGTCACTATTATCATTACCATCACTACATGTCACATCGATATAAATAAGATTTTACTGGCAATGAATCTATTATATGCTCTTTATTTACGTGCACAGATATGCAGGACAACACACATACGCGTGTACAAATGTGCGCGCATACACATAGACACGTATATCCATTCTTTATTCTCTATTGTATGTAATATTTTTATTTTCTATTATTGAGCGGGAGGGCACATATTAATTTCGAAAAAAATAATAATTGCGTAAAATTCTTCCACGGAGCGTCGAAAGAATTACGCTGAAATTATTTTTTGTATCGAATTATAAAAGGAAATGAAACGTTGATTCCTTCGACCTCTTTATGGGAAATGTAAAATGGTGCTCGTTCGTGGTGTACGTTCAATTGTAATTTCCCTCTTGTCCACGACGCTTCGGGGAATGGTCGCGAACAAATAATATATTTATAGTATGTTATGAATTTAATTTTTTCAGATGAGACTATAAGTGCGAGAGGCAAGGAAATTGCCTAGTTTTTAGCATAATTCTTGAACGATAAAAAAGGTCATTGATAGTGTAAAAATACATCAATATTTATTGTACATAGAGTTAACAAAAAAAAAAAATTACTAACAAATAAAAACGAATCAAAAATAAAGGCTTCGAGAGAATATTTTATACGAATAAAAGACTTTTAAAAACTTGTAGAGCGTGGCTTGATACACGCATAGCAAGAACAATTTTGCACTTGTTTAATTTCTTTCAGTTTTTACCTTGTGATTTTTCATCAATCAGTTTTCTATTTTCTTCTAAACAAATTATATTAATTTTAAATTATTATTAGACAAATTTAAAAACAACAAATGTACATGTATTTGTTTTAAACACAGATTACCTTGATTTTCGTTTTCTTTTACGTTCTTGTCGTCTTTTTTTCTCAGCATTTGCCAAATCTATATATTTCTTTCTTTGTTCCGGACTCATTTGAGTCCATAATTTTCCTGCTGCTCGTGCAATTACAGTTACGTGTTCCTTAGGTTTTTTACTTCGTAATCGTAGAAAAAAGATGATAAAAGGATTAGTTGCACGACATTTTATTTTCTCTTTTCCATTGGTTCGGGATTCGGAACCATTTACAATTCTTTTATTCTTTCCGGGACGATCATCTACGCTACCCAAAGGTAAAAGATGCAAGTACGTTTTTATGTACTATCTTTTATATTTAATTTTATTAGTATGTTATCGTTAATTTTATCGGGAACAGGACATTGGGGTAAATCAAAAATTATCTTACCTGTCACCACTTTCTCGCTTCCGTTCTTTTCGCGATTTCGATGATTGTACGGATCCGGTATTTCCCATCCTCCTCGAAACTCTGTCGCAATTGTTTAGCAAATTCTTGTTGTACGCCGCATTACTTGACAATTTTTTGCAAAAACTTTTCTCAAAAACTTTGAAATTGAAGTGACATTGTCAATGAAAAACATACCTTCCCTTGTTTTTCCAAGACAAACGAGTAAATAAAAATTTGAATTTTCTATGAATCAATTTTTCGAATTTGCTTATTCTCTCCAAGAAGAAATAGAAAAGGTTAAGAGAGAAATGAATGATCATACGATATAAACTTATATTTATTAATTAAATAATATAATATAAATATTATATAAATATTATATAATATTAATATTATATATAATTAAATAATATAATCTTATATATTATTAAATGTGTAAAATATTCGTATCGTACAATTTTCGATAAATTAATATTTGTCACATATATAATATAAAAATAAATACAAAATCATATAATTATTTTACTAAAGATTCATAAACGAAACGTATAATACGTTTCATTTAATTGGCACATTATGCCATTTTTTCACAATTCTCCACCTGCTTGAGCAGCCTTTTTCGGTTTCTTATTCTTATTCCATTTCTCTCCACAATAACAAGCTTCTTTTTGTGCATCTATATAACTTTTACATCCCAAAGCAGTTGTACCAGTGAAAAGCATTTTTGCTGCAGCTTTGCATGTATTTATTATTGCAGACGATTGATACCCATCGCAATATTTATATAGACATCTCTTAAATTCCAAATCACATTTTTCCTTATCCGAATTACAAGAATCGTAACAAATGTCATGCGCATCACAACATTTCGTCATTTCTGTAAGCGGTAGATACTCTTGGTTTATCTAAAATTATTAAGTTGATTAATTTCTTTCTTGTTATTTATTACGATAATACATTATGATGATGTGTCTCTATTTTCGAAAATTTGCCTACTTCGATTCCTAGAGAACCACATCCATTACTTTGCGGTTTATGATTCCAATCTGGTTTCGGTGTCATACCTGAAATTGTCATAAACAATATATGCATATATCTTCATATTATAAATTTATTAAGCAACAACCAATTAGATTTAACTACATTGAAAATATAAATACTAGATAGTTTGTATAATAAATATTAGATAATTTTTAATATCTAATATTTATTTCATAAATATATAATCGTGAATATATCTTGCAAAACAAATTTCTGATATTATTTATAATTATATAAATTACATAATATGTTGAGATAAATAAAAACAAAGTAAAAAGTAAACGTAAAATAAAATACGTATATTATATTATATTATAATGTTATCGCTATAGATTTTGACAAATCATCGTATTTTGGAGTGAAGTACGATAGAATAAAGATTTGAAATTAACGATAAGTAATGAACGATAAGTAATAGGTTAAATATATATACCTCCTGGACATTGAAAGATACAATTTTCTTCTATTGCTGCATCAAATACCTCATGGATATCTCTGATTTTTCTAGCAACAGTAATCGCATTTTGGAATAAATCTTGAAATATCGTTTCTGCTGCTAATACAGCATCTTTTAAGTTCGATAATAAACCAGCTCCATAACCTGACCACGCATAAGCCAAAAAAGTCAAAATATAAATTAGAATTTTTCGATATTGAGAAAAATCCATTTTCTTCTATGTTTTTCGATGCCCTTAATGATATACGTTTCACTACTCGTTCAGATATTTTTAGATAAATTGATTCATATAAATATATACTTGACCATAGACACGTGGTGACAAAGAACGAAATAGTTTCGTAATATAAGAACTTTTGTCACATTATACACACACATATACACTCTTCATTACAAGTATGTGTAAGTGCATATACTTATTTAAATCAAAATTAAAAATGATTTTAATAAGAAATTTGTTTTAACTTAACTAAGATTAACAGTGATTTATAATCATTATTATGGAAATGCAAAGATTAAAGTATAATATAATATTCTTATATTCTTTGTTATTTGTTTTTATTTATTTAATAAAATTAACAATATAATAATGAATATATAAAATTATGATATAAATAGTAATAGTAATAAGAATATAAGCAACAGAAGTAATATTAAAACATTTTTTGTAATTCTCCTGTTTCGTAAAGTTTCTTTACATCTGTTCCACCTCCTAAACATACTCCATTTACAAATACCCTAGGTACTGTTCTAGCTCCAGTCATTTCTCCTAATATACTTTGAATTTCATCTCCATCATTCCTTTCATTCAGTTCGATAGCAGTATATTCTTTTTGCAAATTATGAAATACCTGAAATAAATCATATTATGCTAATTGAAATGAAGATAAAGAAATTATTTGATTAATACTTGTTTAGCCATTTTGCAAAATGGACAACTTGTTTTAGAAAATATCACAATGCTATGAGATGCAATAAGTTGGTTAACTTCCTCTTTTGTTGTAGGCATTGCGTTTTCCTCTGTGCTGAAAATAAAAATTCATTGTAATAAATTCATAAAATCGTTGTATGAAAGAATAACGAATCCTATATTTCGATTTTCATTTAAAATAATTATTACAAATTCAACATTTTCTCAACAATTAAAAATCATTAACAGTCGTTCGGACCTTTAACAGCTGTCACATAATTTTTCTTATCGACTACGTAAGCCAGACTACTTTTAAGAATTATTTTCGACATATCGTTCATAAAATCTAAAGATATTCTATGCATATTGATTTATTTTAAATCTCTAATTAAAAAAAAAAAAAAAAATATGCAAAGAAAAGATTTTAAAGCTGAAGTTTTTTTTTCTAGGTTATTACTTAAACAAAATATTGTCGCTAAAATAATCGATTTTTAATAAGAGAGTATTTGAGTATAAATTCTATAATTTTCAGTTCTACTTGTTATATTTGTTAATTACATATTCTTTTATTCAGAAATGAAATTAACAAAAATTTAACATATTACATATTTTCTTAATTCACATATGGTGAATTAAGAAAAAAAAATTAATATTATTTAAAGAATTTAATGTATAAATTATATATTAAATAATACATAATTTATATTTATATATTATTATTATTATTATTATTATTATTATTATTATTTCACATATTATATTTTTATATAAAAAAATAACAAATAATATACTCACAATTATTTAAAATTTTTTATATTTTAACTTGCCATGCATATAGTGAATGATAATTGGAAAAATATAAGTTTATCTCAATAGCAAAACTGTACTGTTTCCATGAAAAATGTTTATGCGTTATCTATAATAAATTTTAAGTGATAATTGAATTGTAAATTGGAATAATTTATATTCTTTCTGATTTTTGTTTTTTCTATTGAAATTTTATTAGTGATAAATTCTTCAATGAAATTTCTAAATAAAAATGATACTAATTTTTTAGAATATACTAAGTTTAGAATTCCATATTTTAAAATTGAAGATGATATCAAAATTAATGGAAAATATATGATTTTTTTATGAAATATGTTTGTATGAAAATTGATATTATTTATATTTATATAAATGCAATACGTGTAAATAATTTCTAATTTTTACACGCTAGATGGCACATTATTATCGGTTTTGAACGTTTCTTTTAAAGTGACAATTCAACGACTATCGTGTTGAAAGTGTTCCCTTGACACTTGACGTTACGAATTATTGAATATTTTCTAAGGTTTCGTCGGAATAAAAAAATGGTGTAAATGACAAGTGTTCTAAAAAAGATGGGTAGAATTGTAAAAATGGCCTATCCTGGAGGTGGTTTATACGTTGTTGAGAGTGAGGTCTGCCTCCTGGTAACGGCTATGAGACGAGGTGCTCGATGGTCTTCTCACTCTCATCAGGTTAGAATATTCTTTTTATATTATAAAAAAAAAAGAAAATACTTATGTTTTCTCACAATTATGATTATTTATTTATAAATTTAATTATGAATTAGATTTATCATATATATATATATATATATATATATATAATTATTATTATTATTATTATTATTATTATCTAGATTTATAATATGATTACTATAAAACAGATTATATTAGATATTAGAATAGTAGTGATATGAAAAATGAATATTATTATAATTAGAAAATGATTATTTTAATTCAGATTTTTTGTTGTATAATCTGCATATTTTGATGCCATTTTCAAGGATGACGATCAAGATACTCTTATAAAAGGATTATTCAGTTTAAAAGAGGTGCTGAATGAAGCAAAAGATTTATCTTGTTTAGATCCAGGTGTTTTTTTGGCTCCATTTTTAGAGATTATACGATCAGAAGAAACAACTGGACCTGTTACAAGTCTTGCATTGTCTGCTGTTAATAAAATGATATCTTATGGTCTTATAGGTACATATCCATTATTTTATTCGTTATATATCATTAATATATTTAAAAATATATATATTAAAATAATAAATAATTTTTATAGATTCAGATCATCCAGCGGTAGCCCAATGCGTAGAAGCTATTGCTGATGCTGTTACGCATGCAAGATTTGTTGGGACTGATGCATCTGGAGATGGAGTTGTTTTAATGAGAATTCTTCAAGTTTTAAGAGCTCTTATGTTGGCACCAGCTGGTGATTATCTTTCAAACGAAAGTATTTGTGAAATTATGCTCAGTTGTTTTAGAATATGTTTTGAAACACGACTCAGTGGTAAGAAAATTTTGAATATTTTATTTCAAATTATTTTTCAATTTCAACAATATTCTTTTGATCGATAGAATTATTAAGAAGAACAGCAGAGCATTGCTTAAGAGATATGGTACAACATCTTTTCACACGATTATCTCAATTTGTTGACGATACTAGAGTTTTATTAAATATGAAAGTAAGATTTACTAAAATATATCGATCGAATGTAATATTTTTTTTATTTAATATATTATATGCTTTTAGAAAATGAGAACAAATAGTATGGAAAGTAATCGAAGTAAGAACAGAAGAAATAAAAATCATAGTAAACAAAAGGCAAAACAGAATGTAGATAATATAGGAGATATTGAAGATCCACTTCCAAGTCCAACCGATAAAGTTAAATCGAGTTGTTTGACGACGCCTGTTAGTTCGACAGGAAATATTGTTGATATGCAAGGTTCTTTAGATCAAGGTAGCATTGAAAAAACAGAGGAAGAAAAGAATGATAACAAAAATCATAACAAAAAAGATTTAAATGATGTAAACGAAACTATTAAGCAGGAAGATATATTTGATTTGAAAAAAGAGAAGGAAGATATAAAAGATTCGAAAGAATGTAATAAGCAAAGTTGTAGTGAAATAGAGGAGAAAAGAAATGTAATTGATGAAAAAGAAATTTTATCGAAAGAAGATAAAAATATAGACAATATAGAAATAGATAAACATAATGAAACTAAATCGGTAAATTTATTAAAAGAAGGAAACCAAGGTAATTATATTTGTTTTAATTATAATTTAAATTGTAATTTTAATTATCATTCTGTTGATTTTATAGAGGATATGAAGAAATTGATAAATGATAAAAAAAATACAGATTCGATAAAATCTTTGGCAGGAAGTGTCGAAGATTTAACGTCAGTCGATGAAAATATAAATAATGCATACAACAAAACATCTAAAACCAAAGAATCTGAACAAATTGAAGAATATATAAATGCCCAAGGAGTTCGTTTTATGCCACATCAACAATTAGCACCTTATGGTGCTTTGTGTGTCCGTGAATTATTTAGATTTCTCGTATCTTTGTGTAGTCCTCTTGATAAACAAAATAACGAAGTTATGACACATCTTGGGCTCAATTTATTGCAAGTAGCTTTAGAAATTGCGGCTGACTATCTTTCCAATTTTCCGTCATTACTGGCACTTGTGAAAGATGATCTTTGTAGAAACCTTATTTTGGTAATGATGCAATATCTTTATTTTTGTTAAGTCTTTTATCTTTATTTTTGTTAAGTTTATTTGGGAATAAAAACATAAGAAAATGAATAATTATAATTGTATGAATAATTATAATAATTATAATTATATTTAATAGCTTCTTGGCACAGATCGATTGTCGATTCTTGCAGCGGATTTGCAAGTATCGTTCTTGCTATTTGAATCGCAAAGGCAGCATTTGAAATTCCAAATGGAGCATCATATAAACAAATTAATGGAAATAGTAAGTTCAGATTCGAATAGGATATCATATGATCAGCGTGAACTAGCTCTCGGTACGGATATTATATGACTATTATTAGCTCTATTTATGAAATATCATTTAATTAAAGTAACGCAATAAAGTTTAATCTTTTTTTTTTTAATTTTAGAAGCTATTGTACGATTATGGAGAATACCCGGTTTACCAGCAGAATTATATTTGAACTATGATTGCGGCTTGTATTCTTCTAATTTATACGAAGAATTAATGAAGCTATTGTCAAAGGTATATCGTGATTTCACGATAATAATAATAATAAAAAAAAAAAAAAAAAAAAAAAAAAAAAAAATCTTTTAAAACAAATTTAAAAAAATTTATTTTTTTTTTTTTTTTTTTTTGGGAAATCCCGAAAAACCTTTTAAAAAAGCTTTATTAATTTTTTTTTTAAATTTAAAAAAAAAATTAATAAAGCTTTTTTAAAAGGTTTTTCGGGATTTCCCAAAAAAAAAAAAAAAAAAAAAAAAAAAAAAAAAAAAAACGCTTGTATATAACGCTTATACAATATATTAATATATTATCTTACTTGTTAAAAATTGTATTCGATTTACATTTCGTTATTAGAATGCTTCCGCATTAATGGGTAATATGCAAAATATGCAATTCGTTTCTTTGGATGCTATATTCACGTTGATTTCTGGAATGGAAATCAGATGTAAAGGCTATAAAGAATTGTGTAAACCATCTCGACATGATGCATCACCAAATCTTCCAACACGAGAGGAACTGCTTAGTATAAAAGCAAATAAACGGGTTTGTATTTAATTAAGATACATTTTTTTTTTTCGTCTATGTTTTTCTTTTTGTTTTTCTTGCATGTTTTTTTATTCTTTTTTTTTATTTTTACAATTTCTTTCCTTTTCGTTTTTTCCCTATTTTTCTTGTTGAAAAATCATAGAAATATATATTCTTTTTATACGTAGTGGTTGATGCTTGGTACAGAAAAATTCAATGAAAATCCACGAGAAGGAATTGCTAAACTTACGGAACATAATCTTTTGGGTGGAAGTCCGGGAAATCCCGATCCAGAGAAAATAGCTAAATTTTTGAAGGAAAATCCTGGCCTTGATAAAAAAGCTATCGGGGAATACATTAGTAAAAAAGAAAATAAAAATGTTTTAAATTGTTTCGTTCATAGTTTTGATTTGAAGGATATGCGAATCGATCAAGCTTTACGACTTTACTTAGAATCTTTCAGACTTCCTGGCGAAGCGCCACTTATTTCTTTGTTGCTCGAAAAATTTGCCGAACATTGGCACGTGAGTTTGGTTTTCCATTTGATACGTATATATATATATATATGTGTGTGTGCGCGCGTGCGTGTGTGTGTGTATGTGCGTTCGTGCGTGTGTGCGTGTATGTGTGTGTGTATAAATATAAATATAAATATAAATAATAATATAACATATAAATATAATAATAATAATAATAATAATAATAATAATATAAAAAATTATATAAAATGTAAAAAAAGATCGCGTATTTGTTTGTTTTCCAGGACAGTAATGGAAGGC